TTGCAATCAAATTGCAATGGACGAAATTAATTCTACAACTTTTACTTTCTGTGTTTTACTTTTATTCAGCGTAAATTATTCAAAAATCATCCTCAAATAAGACGGTTTAAAGGCCAATGGGAAGTCACTATACTTGTATAGGATAAATTTGGAAGCAAAAAAGGTCCGGGCTGATTGCCCAGATTTTTTGACATTAATCGGGTATTCTCGAAAAAAAATTTTCAAGCAATGTTATAAATATATACACCGAGATATTCGCATAAAGTTTGTTAGATTAAAGTAGATATGTAGTATATGGGAGTTTAAGTAATTCTTAGTAAATAGTATGTTCAATATTAAACGTTCCATAAACTTTACTAAGATTTTTTATATCTACCAACCGAAAGTTTGAAAATTGTTAGTTATATGGGAAATAGGGGTAGTATTGACTCTATGTAACTATTTTTTCGGTAGTTATAAGAAAACAGACTGTTCACCTAAATATGATTGCAGTAACGACTTTGCAAAAACTCTAATAACGTGCAAATGACAAGAAGGATTACATTGTTGATGTTCACGTTTTATTGCATAAATGGTAAGTGGATATTCATATGTAAAAGTTACAAAAATTTTAAAAATTTGCAAAATTGCCTCAAGCTTACATAAACAGACGGAAATATGGACCGACAGCTCTTGATTTTTGCACCACGATAATGCAATGTCGCATATTGTATTTATGCTTCGTGAGGTTTTCAACTAATATTCAACCAATATCGTGCCGCAACCTGTTAACTCCGTGTGACTTCTGGCTATTCAGCAAATTAAAACAACCTCTCCGGAGAAACATTTTTGAGTCAATTAAAGACATTAACCCCAGTTCGCACACAACTTGCACTAAATTAACCAGTTTTGATGCTTACCAACTGTCGCACTCTTGTTTTACAAATTTACAAAAAATAAAATACTACGATTTAATTTTAATGCTTAACAAAAAATATGGATAATTACACAGTAATGTACTCAACTGCAACAATGTTTTTTGTTTACATTATTACCTGAAAATAACGGGAAAATTTCAATTATCTTTTCATCAAATGTACACAGCACGAGCTAGACTCGACCATACAGATTGACGAATAATTTCCGTTAAAACTCTAATCATTTGAATATTGTCCAATTTTGACAATTTTTGGACGAGAGAAAGGATACCTTCAAGGCAATATTTATGCTAAGCCTTATTTTGTTAACGTTATTGAGTCTTTTTTTATACTGACAACTTAAAGAATCAAATTGATTTTAAATTTTTATATTTGAAAAGTAAGCGTTTGTATTGTGGTTATATTTTTGTCATTTTCAAAGTGTACAGGGTTGCGAACGAATTGTGATACAAAAACAAACGGTAATAACTTGTTTTCTGTGTGAGAAATTGACTTAATTTTTTTTATTTGGCGGAGTGCTTTAAAATGAATGCATGGGATACAGAAAAAAAGGTTTGGATAGTGCAGCGGTAACATGTTTTGCATTTCGTCAATTCCGTTCAAAAGAATTTAGTTGGGATTTTGGTAGCACTACCCCAAGTAGATAGACCATTATGATTATTGGTAAACATGTTTACAGAGTCCGGAAGTATAAGAAGGAGACTGTTCCATCGAGAAATTGCCCAAGAAACAATGACAGGTGTTGCATCGTCAAGTCATTCAAATCTAAGAGTTTCGGGGGATTGTTTAGTATCGCGCCGGTTAAGTATCGTTTATGGAGCAAAACAGGGTCGGGCTACCCCCACTCCCGACCCCTTATTCAAAGAGGAAGATTTGAAATTTTTAATAAACCCCCCTCGACCCCCTAGAGCCCCTATGGACCTGTAGGGTGGCCTTTGAAAATTCCCAAAAATCAGTGTTTTTGCTCATTTTTCCATACAAACTGAAACCAATGCAGCCTAACCAACATTTTTGTTTGGACAAGAAATCAAAATAAAGAGAGCCAAAATGTTTCAGTGCAATGTATATGCATATTTAATTGCATCTATCCTTCTGCCGCGCTTTAAAAAAATAACCTTGGCCGGTCCAACACCGGCTACGCCATCCACAGTATTTTAGCATTGAACACCTTTTCCTCCACAGTATTTTAGCATTTCATTCCTTTCCGTACTAGCGGCCTTCGGCAGCGCTTCAAAAAAATAACCCTGGTCGAGTCAACACCGGGCTGTTCAGGGTTTTTTCGCGTAGAACTCCTTTCTGTACWGGCGGCCTTCGGCCGCGCTTTAAAAAAATAACCCTGGCCGGTCCAACACCGGCTACGCAATCAACAGGATTTTAGCATTGAACACCTTTTCGCGTTCACTTCATTCATTTATTGCTAAGTGGGTTTCCCTTTTGTTCGTGCTTTCTCGGTAATTTGACAGTTCAAATTAGGCAGTCATTTTGGTTTTTCGCATTATTGAACTCAATGCAGAAAAAGGTGTATTTTATTTAACGATTTACAAAGAAATTAACAATCAGAAGTAATTAAAAACATTACTAGTGGTTTTTATAATTCATAAGTAATGTATGTGCGGGAAAATGTATCCATAATTGGTTTGGTACAATGCACAACAGATGAAAATACACTAGCATATATTTAGAGATTTGCAAAAAATAGCATTTTTTAAAGTGAATTTGTGTAAAAATTTGTGAACCGATTTTTATAAAATATGTTTTAAAACAAAGTTCGATAATTTAAGCATGCGTGTTTCAAATTTTCCATTTGGTTCTCTCGTTTAGGTACAGTGAGCCAAAATTAACCGGCGCGATACTAAACACAACCCGAGTTTCGACTTGTAACTTATCGGCGCAACTTGGAGTTAGCAGATGGTCAATACAACGAATAATACATGACGAAAATAACCTGTTTTAGTTGAACTAACAAGCCAGTTACGCCCTCTATATTTGCGTATTTATGTCTAATGAGGCCCATTTTCATCTAAACGGAAATGAAAACCAGAATAATTGGAATAAATCAAATCCAAAAATAATCAACGGGACGGAATTTCACCCAGAATGAGTCACTGCGTGGTTCGCAGTGTTACCTTGGTGTATTGTTGGGCCATACTTTTTTTGAAGAAAATGGCGTAATAGAAACTGTCAATGAGCACCGCTGAAGATGTATCCCATTCAATAACGTGTGCAGTTGCTCCATATTGCTGGAACCAAACGGTTATTACGGAGCTCCAACGCAAACTACAAAACAAAGTAATATCAAGAAGATTTTTGTAATGGGGTTATGTCAATAAAGAGGTATGCAAAACAAAACCCAGAAGTATGGAGCATTGACGCAGCCCTTTAAGTGGCTAATTCCAGTAATCCTGACTTCAAACCATTAGGTCGCAATCAATAATTTTCTAATTACGTGTCACATCTGTGTGGCTGAGTAAGGTTCATAATTTTTATAAAATAAAATTATCTAAACTATAAAAAATAAATAAATAAATAGAATGAACTGAATAAAAAAAGTTATTGCCTTTTGTTTCTTTTTTTTTCGCAAATTTCACTTTACGATAACAATGATCTAATACATCAAATTCGGTTGAATTTTTTTTTTATTAGTGGCTTGATTTTGGCATTTAATAGGTTTGTGATTAACGGCATTTTGTGAACGCAGTCAACATTTGGCCATCTACAATCCGACCTTCTTTTTATATAAAACTTAATGATTAATCAAAAGAGTTTCGGGATTATTTCAATAATTGTATATACTTTAAAATATGTAAAATCTTTTAATTAATGTGAAATATACGTAAATTCTAATTAAGTATTTGGGCGCGGCGATTTGATGTTATGGATGGATAGAAGATTTCTCCTCAGACTCATAGTTTTCGCGATATTTCTATTTAAAGTCCAAAAATTTATAAAAGTAATGCTCGTTATTTCACTATGTTTAACCCACTTTTCAAACTTTCAAGAGATTTGTGTGTTTACATTTATGACAAATAGCAGTGTTCCATCTTTAGAGATATAAATGATTAAATGTTAAATGTATGTATGTGGATTATATATCACATATATCATTTAAAAAAGAGAGACAAATATTATTAAACAATACTTAGTAAATACCGGTTTTATATTATCAATGGAAACTCCAATATTTTTAGCTTTTTTATTTGACAATTCCCAAAGTCTTAATATGAAATCCATATTCCAAGAAAATTTTCCGTTACATTTTTCTACTCCGTTGGAATTTTTTAACGGCAATATTTTTTTAGTGTAGTTTAGCGAAGTAAGTAAGTTGTGATTTCTTGAGATTTTTTCCTGACGACTGTGCATGCCCATCTAACCAACTGGTGTGAGAAAAAGAAGAGCCGGTTTTGAGTTGCAACACAATTAAAAGTCGCCGAAGTCCAAAATTATTACATCAATACAAGGCTCTATACGACTTGTCAAAAATTTTTTTAAAGAAATTTTTTTGGCTCGCAGATAATGCAACTTCTATTGGATATAAAACAAGTTTATCCTGGCTATGTAGAAAAAAATCTTCAGGAAGGAATGGAATTATAATTGTGCCGAAAGTAGTTCGATTCAAAAGAACTATGAACACCCCGCTCTTGGACCGACCAGGGTTATTTTTTTTATCTTTATGTTAAACAGAATTTTTTTTAGTAAAAACGTCAGAAAATTATTTGCTAGATCTTTCATGCTCGTTTTTTCTAGATTGAAAAGATATTTAATGATGGTATTTATTTTCTTTTTGATAAGTCACGTTGAATGGCAGCTTTTTAGTAGTCCGATTATTATTTATTTAATTTATCGGATTCCCGGCTTTCTTTTAAGTATTAAAAATATCGTGGAAAACTTAATGTAACATGTATTACAACTTAAGTTCTGTAGATTCGTACTGTGCCATTTGAATACTACAACCTGGGCCGAAAAACCTATAACGTAAATTTGATTTCAATCTTCAATTAATTAAATAACTCATACTAGGTTGTTGCAAATCATTTGCCTTCATTTAACTATTGTTATATTTAAAGTTTTCAGTTGTGTACTCACATTCTACTACAATAGTAATATTGAGCTTTGCAGAGCCTTCTGAATTACTGGCTTCACATACATAAATTCCAGCGTCATTTCGATTCAGTTTTGTGAAGTTAAGATTAGCTCCGTCTGCGTAAATACGATGCTCTGCACGACCATTGATAATAGAAGTTGAAGGTACTGGTAATCCATCCTTTGTCCAACTATACAAAACTGTCGCTGGATTAGCTGTAGCGCTAAGGGATACTTGTAGAGATTCTCCTTCAACTCCTACAGCAGTTGATGATGGTGGTGGTAAAAACACTGGTGGATCTATGATGACGAAGTAAATTTAATTAGCAATACAAGATCCTAATTACTTAGAACTTACATAATATGTTTAAGTTAACTGCTTCGTGTACACTGCGTTGTAATGCTTCGTTGGCACTCTGACATGTATAAACCACACCATTCATTTCCTGAGAAACGTTCACTTTGAATTCCAGAGTCGAGACCGTGCCTCCCCATAATCCTGGTTTGGACGAATTATTTATCCCTTAAATAATAAATAAATTAAAAAATTTGTATTTACGGAGCCCGAGACCTTTCCAACGAATGCAAAACCGTGGAAATCGGTTCGTGCGTTCTGGAGTTATAGCGTCAGAAAGGAAAACCCGACTTATTTTTATATAGTAGATAGCATGTACATGTACATACATACATACCATATACACATTAAACTTATTAAATACACAGAAAACTTATCCAACCATTTTTAATAAAAAACGAAAAAAAGATAAAATTTTGTGTAGTTTTCAAAGAATGTATTGTAAATTTTTATACGCCTTAAACTTACCATCGATTGGAATACCATCCTTCCACCAAGTGAGTTTTGCTGGAGGATTGCTTGAACTCGAATCACAAATTATTGCAGCTTCCATACCAGGTTTTAAAACTTCAGGTTCAACACGAATTTTAACAATTTCGGGCGCAACTGTAAAATATATTAATTAAACATTATTATAATTTTCGTCACATTTCTTAATGTACTATATGTTCTATATTTATCTTTTCTTTATTCGTTGACATTCGATATTAAAAATTATAATTAATATTAATACTAATACTAATTATTATTTTACTCATCAATTGTCATTGTAATACTTTTATCACAACCTATGATCTATAGTAATGAAATAATTATCACAGCAGCAAAAAATCTTAACACATAAAATCAAATGTTCATTTGACATTTTGACATTAGAATAACAGAAATTATTGGGTTAAAAAGCCATAAAATAACATATAGCTAACCGTAGGGCAATACGTTTTGTCTTGACTTATGCACATTTCAAGTTATTACCAATTGCCAATAACTCAACTGTGTACATATGTATATAAGACCAATACATTTCATATACATATATAAACTAATACTTAGCAATATTCTCTCTCAGATAAAGTTGTCTCAATATTTAAAAAATGTACCATATACTATATTATTTTGCTCTCCAAAACCGATCAAATTTTTGAGTACACTTTTAATCGGATATACTTACAATGAACGCTTAAAATAGTGCTTTCGAAAAGAGGAATCTCTGTAGCACTATTGGATGCCTCGCAGCGATATTGCGCTTGGTTATCAGTTACATTCGCTAAAATCGTTATCTCAGCAGAGACAGACTTATCAGCTGTGCGTATCACGGAGTTAACCTATAAGTGTAATAATATCACCAATATTTGTTTTTAGTATACTCAATTGCAATATCTTGTAACAATAAAATTATACACATAAACATAAGGTATCAAATTGTAAAAATAAAGAATATCGACTAAATCTCTAATAGCTAAAAATAATAAATATTACTAATTCAATGCCCATTATTTATTAACTTTTCGCGAAAAAAAATAAACATTTACTTGTAACATGAAGATTATTATTTTTAATATGTCCTTATAAAGTTTAATACCATGGTGGAATATTTTGAAATCGACCTTCTAATATAAAAAATGGCTAAATAGAAAGAACATATTATAAATCATAGGCGAGAGGGTTTTATACTTTATTATTGCCATCGTAGAATCATACAAGTAACAAAGAATCATATGGTCGTCAACAGCTGGATCACATGGTCGAGATAAAAGGATTTAAAATTAGTAAAGAGATTGCAATATAGGCGCGTTACCGATAATATTTTGGCATCGGGTTCCCCAGGATGCCTATTTTTACCCAGATAATATATACAATACTAAACAAAACTAACTGTATTAATTTAAACAAAAATATATACATTTATCAAATATTTTTAATAAAATAGGAAAGATTTATCAATATTTTGTTACAATAAATACAATTTTGAAAAAGTGGGCGTGGCCCCGCCCCTTAATATGTTTAATGTGCATATCTCCTAAACCACTAAAGCTACAACGACCAAATTTGCACAGTACAAATGTTACGAAATCCTACCGATAGTGTGCAAATAGACGAAATAGGCTGAAAACCCCCCACACGCCCCATTTACTGTTCAAAAGTGCAATAACTAAATGTACCATAGACATTACATTTTATCACCGAGATGGTGGAAGAGAGCTTTATGAGAGCTGGTGTGCCCACTTTTTAGTGAAATCCCTCGGGATCCTACCAACCGATTTAGTACGTGGTGGGGCCTTCCATACGATGAGAACAGTACCGGCAAGTGCAAATTGGAGTATCATTAAGGAGATCCTAATACAAAACTTTGGCGTAAGAGAGTCATAGCATCAACTGTACCAAGAGGAGTTTGCAGCTCGTTATAATAAGATAAGTGAATACTATAAGTTTTTGCTAAGCTTGAATATGATATAACTAAACCAGTAGAATTTAGCCTCTAAGGGGTGACCCTGAATTAGAATCTTCAAAAAATCGATCTTTTTGTTGCTAAAATCTCTTTAAAAATAATCTAAGAATACGTCCCCAAAGTTTTAGATGTAAATTTGAAATATTTTCGAAGCTAGAAGGAAAATAGTGACCGAGCGTCTAGCAGATATATGAGCGATTGAGCAGAAAGCGAAACTTTGACGCGCGATTTGTCTCGTTTTTAATTTTTACGATTTTTTTAACTGGCGGGTAGAATCGAAAAAAACTAATCGTCGTATGTAATTAGGCCAAAGTTTATTATCTTTGGCATTAAATTATCTTCTATTTAAACTAACAAAACTAAAAGTCAAGTTTGATCATAATTTTAAACAACATAAAGTAACATATTTTTAGTCAAAAACCATTTTTTTTTTCAATTTTTAAAAAATTTCTAAAATTTTACACTTTTTTTTGGGTTTTTTGTAGTTTAAGTAGAAGATAAATTATCAAAAAGATACATTGAATTTTTTGCTGCGATATGCATCGTGCAATTGCTTCCCTAAGGCAGAATATCAAAGTATTCATATCCAAAAAATTTGTGAATGATGTTTAAATATATAACTATAAACCCTAGAAATTTTGCTTTAATCACTTATTTCTTTCCTTCCCGAAAAAAATCCTCAAAAAAAAATCGACCCCCTTAAATACAAAAAAATAATACTAGTTATTAGTAGAAAAGTAAACAGTTTAAGAGAGGTTTCCAGCTTATTAGAAAAAGAGGGTCTAATTCATAATAATAAATTTGGAAACAGTATGAGTAGTTATGTAAATCGCTATTTTACAAATAACAAATACCAACAACATTCCAGTAGAATACAACAATTATGTACAAATAATCAAAATTTCCAATAAAATAACAGTTCTAGATAAAATAACAATTTTAGATAAAGTAATAATCATTAGAAATGCGCTCTCATTCGAAACATTCCCATGAAATCCCAAAATTTTAATCAGTTTCAATATTTTACCTCCTTATAAGAGAATTCCATTAAAAATTCCCTTGAAATTTAAATCTTGGTAGCGAAACAAAAACAAGAAATAATTACTGAACTACCAAAAGAAATTCATAAAAATGCCACAAGGTCGTGGAAATTGACTAATATTTAAGAAAAATTTTTAATGCAATTATTGGTCAAAATATATTAAAACCACGGTCATATTTGTACTGAGTTAAGTTGACCATTTCTACTGATATTCAGCCGTTCAAGTGGTTGTACACAAAAACGGAGGGAAAGGACGCAAGTCCAATACTTTACCAGTGATTGATTAAGTTAAACGACTATAGCGTTGCAGACTTCTTAAGCAGAATAAGTTCTGATACCCATGAAATAAATTTAGGTAGTTTTGGTAGCACAAATTCTCTATATAATAAACAAGAAGACTTAAATGATAACAAAGTTATAGGAATATGAACCAAATGTGAAGTTTTTAGGTATGAGACAGGACATGCTGGTATAATGAAAATTATCAAGGACCGAGAAAATATATAATTTGTGTATTAACACAATATTTAAAACTTTAATTCAAATATATGGGATAATACCGAGAGTTAATAAGAGAGAAGCGAGACGCATTTGTAGACAGAAAAAGAAAGAGGCCAAAATGCGTTAGTATGAACAGCTTGACAAGCTGGCCGAATGCTCGAAAATTCTACGAAAAAATTTGGCGGCTACAGAAGGTTTCAATACCGGAGGATACTCTTATAGAACCCAAGGGTGTGACCTAGTAACCGATGCTCAGAGCATATTTAAATTATGGAGGGACAACTTCTCCAGCCTGCTGAATGGCAGTGAATGCACAACGCCAGGAGGAGGCGAACCCTATTTCCCAATCGATAACTATAGAGAGGGCGTTCCATTGGCCCACCCATGAAGAAGTTCGAATAGCAATTAAACGTCTGAAGAACAACAAAGCAGCGGGAGCCGATGGATTGCCGGCCGAGCTATTCAAACACGGCGGCGAAGAGCTGATAAGGAGCATGCATCATTTTCTTTGTAAAATATGGTCGGATGAAAGCATGTCCAACGATAGGAATTTAAGTGTGCTTGCCAAATTAACAAAAAAAGGAGACCCCACAATCTGCGCCAATTACCGTAGGATACGCCTCAACATCGCATATGAGGTTCTATCGAGCGTATTATGTGAAAGATTAAAGCCCACCGTCAACAAACTGATTGGGCCTTATCAGTGTGGCTTTAGGCCTGGAAAATTAACAACTGACCAGATATTCACCATGCGCCAAATCTTGGAAAAACCCGTGAAAAGAGAATCGACACAAACCACCTCTTCGTCGATTTCTAAGCTGCCTTTGACAGCACGATGTCTGCCTTCGTGCCGCGATATCTGAATTTGCCATCCCCGTAAAATTAATACGGCTCTGTAAACTGACGTTGAGTAACACTAAAACCGTCAGAATCGGGAAGAACATCTCTGAGTCGTTCGATACCAGACGAGAAGTTTCAGACAAGATGATTCTCTCCGTGTTACTTCTTCAACCTTCTTCTGGAGAATATAAATCGAGCTGCAGAACTAAACTGAGAAGGTACAATCTTCTATAGGAGTGTAACAGCCGCCCCGTTAGTTACACATACATATAAGTATAATACACGAAAACAAGGTATAAAAATAAAAGGAATTTGTTTTGAGAGTATTATAAGAAATAGAGGAAAGAAGGTTACATTAAAAATTATAAAAATCTACATCACAAAGAATAAGCAAAATTTATAAAAGGTCAAATTGGATAATGTACATATTACAAATATTAAAAAGCAAAATAAATATGCAGACAAATTTAATATTCAAGAGATTAGTTAATCTATAAATAAGACAATGAAATATGGATTTTAATCTTTCAGACTAATGTATAAATACATACTTTGCATATATTTATATAAATTTATGACAAATAATGACAAGTTTTGTATAATTATGTAAAGAGTTCCAGTTCATTTGCTCTCTGTGTCCGTAAAATTAAATAATGGGGAAGTTACATTAATAGTTAACAATAACAACAATTGGAATTTGTTCGAGCCAACCTAGGAAGTATTGCCTCTATCTTTATTATTAAGGTAAATTGTTGCCCCTAACATTAAATTTTATCTTCATATCTAAAAAACACCCTGGATTAGAAAAAAATCTCTATATTATATAGTAGGAGTAAAATACAGATCGATATATCATATGTATACGTATAAGTTAATTTTTACTTACTCTCTTATCGTTCTTGTACCAAGTGAGGGTAGCTAAGGGGTTTCCACCTGAAGAGACACAAAGCAGTTTTTGCACAGAACCGGCCGGTATAATTTGTCCTTCCATATAGCCAGAAATTATGGGAGAAGAAGGGGGATCTGTAAAAAGGCAAAAACGGTCGAAAAATCGCACCAAACCAGAAAACCAAAAATCAATATATTAAGGGCGTTAGATCAAAGTAAATACCGATTTCCCTCATAAACGGTTAAAAGTTAATTGATTGTATTAACTTTTGCATGAACCTATCTTACATACTGACTGACAAATTCGATATGTAAAATATGAGAGCAGGGGAAATGGTATGGTAAAACTTCACACATTAGACTTTATTAAATAAAATTTTATAAGTTCGCTAAATTTAATTAAACTGCTTTGCATATTTGCAGACACATCAATGATTTACCGACATAATGATACAATTATTTTTTTAGATCTAACATCAAGGTTTAAACAATCCAGGAGCTGAAATATGCGCCACATCCTCTGCAAGTTGCCTACCGGACACCTTGTCGAAAATGATTATTGATAACCCTAATAGGAATTCATTTGGAAGATGGTATGCTGTAACAATTATAACATTTTGTAAACTAATCATACCCCACATACAATTTAACTTCTGGCAGATATGTATGGTACGTTCAAATGAACTGAACAAAAGCAGCTATGTAAGTATCTCAAAGAAAAACGCTGAAATTTTCAATTTACGTTTGTACTTGTACTGAATGTATGAATCAAAAGATTGACGCATTCAATTAATTAAGGAGTTCAAAAATATTGACATTAGTAGTCACACAAATTTGGAACGAAAATATGTTTCATGAGCTGTAATTAACTAACAGCGGCTGCAGCATTTTTAATTAAATTTTCAGTTTTGTAGATTGTTTGTCATAAACCAATTGAAAATAACAACAGTCTTCTTGAAATTCTCAAATGTCAAAGTTCATTTTACGACTTTAAATTTTTCTTTATTATACACTGTACAAATGTATCTGCATACATATACATACATACGAGTATGTATGTGTACAAATGTAAGAACCTTAATCGAAATTCTCCAAATCGAGGAAAAATTTTAATATTTAGAGTATTGTCCTACAAACATCCGAATATAATTAAATTCTCAGAATAGCGGTTTTTGTGGGAAAGAAAAAACACTGTATAACTATTGAGCACTTAATTTTCTATTAAGGCACCTAGTATGCTCATAAACGCATATTTATGTAAGTATATACATATACTCATTTATTCAGCATAATGCAAGGGGCACTCACTCTAGTCTGAAAAGTAAACATACATATTTATGTCTATCAATCTACAAAACTGAAAATGTATATCCAATTTGGTTCTTGTTTCAACGGTTACAGTTGAGTTATTTATAAATATAAAATATCGAACTTGACTAACCCCCGCCGTCATTTTTGCCTGCCGTTAAAAAATAACACGATTATTTCGAGTTATTAACAATGTTAATAAGACAATATATGTATATAATACTCACACAAAATATTTACTGTATGTGTTGAGACAACGTTCTCTGTTAACTGCATGTTGAGTCCATGACAAATTACTACAAGAGATCTTTTATTGGGTTCAACAGTTGTAGTTATGTTGGAAACAGTAACCCATCCACCTGAAAATGTAGTACATAAATCAATGTAAATGAGCACATACATACATCATACATATACTGGTAAGTTATATCATAGAATTTAAATAAAAATAACATTAATAAAAATTTTGACTTTCATATACCTTCAGAGCTGACGTTTGTCTTTGAAGTGGCATTTCGAATTTGACGCCCGCCGACCATCCATTTTATTTCCGCTGGTGGATTGGACGGTGCAGTTGTACATGTTAGTGATACCACGTCCCCCACACGCGCTTCAGAAGGTCCCGCAATAGATACATGTGTCGGAGCAACTTGGGAGGAAATGTAATGTGAGATGTGGATTATTCAATGAAAATAATTAGGACTTGCATATGTACTATATACAAGTATGTACATACATATGTACATAACTATATGGTTTATAAATATATTTCTTTAATCTATTATCATCGTATGAAAAAATGTGAACCATATTATTCGGAGTTATTTATTATTACATACATATATACAAACATGTTTGTCCGAGCTACCTCACTTACTTCTTAAATATCTAAATAACCTAAAAATATAACAATTTGAATATTCAAGTTATATGGTATACCATAAGTTGAGTATTCATATTAATTTCGACGTCAGAGTGTAGTGCAGTGCGTTGCTATGAAGGAACAATATATACTAGATTTTTTCACCAAATGGCTTTGCTTATTCAAAAAATAACTTATCTCCCGTACATACCAACGAACCGAGAACCTGGAGTTTTATACATACATACATTAGAAGGCTTTATGCTTGATTTGGCAATTTGCGTAAAATTTTATTTTACACATGTCTATGTTTAGGAAAATTCAGAGAAGTAAAAAATGCAGACAGATCGTCAAATGCGTTTAAGGGGTCAGTAGGTGTTCTTTTTTCAATCTTTTTTTTTTAATTTTCTGTTCCCTTATACCCTTAGAAACATTAATGTAGAAACCCACTTCGAAAAAATAATAATACCGCTCGACGTTCGGAGCACTCGGAGTGCAGTACCTCAAACGCGTTTTTCTCAAAACACACATTTTAAAATGGCGGACATGATTTTGGTCGAACCACTCAACCGATTTGCTTATTTTTTTTTTTTTAAATGATCACAAAACCCCTGTCTATCGTCCCTACTAGATTTATAATTTTTTATAATTTATTGACAATGTTCTGATAAAATTTATGTAAAAAACATGGGGAAAATTTAAAATTAAAACGTTACTTACTTTGCTATTTATCTACATTTTTTCATTATTCTAGTAAGGCCGATAACCATTCACGTACTTTTTAAGAATAAATTGAGTTTCTGTCTTTTAGATTATCGAAATATGAAACATGTAAAGAACACCTAAGTTCGGGTGTCACCGAACATTTTATGCTCTCGCATGACAAGTTTCATTAAGATATCACAATTTTTACTCAAGTTACAGCTTGCCCGGACAGACAGAGAGACATCCGCATTTCAACACTACTCGTAACCCTGATTACTTTGGTATATGTAACCATATATCTAACGATATATACCGTTATTAGCAACTTTATTGCGAGAGTATAAGAATGATGCCCTCTGAATTACATGAAAATATCTGAGAGATTTACCGATATTTTCGGTGAAAAATTGGGTTAGGTTAGGTTAGGCACTGAGTTATTCGTGTTCGACATCAGAGACCTTGAATAGTTATAGTCCGATCACGACAATTTTTCCACAAGGGATACCTCAGTTCAAATACCGTATTTGTGTAAAGTTTTATTCCGCTATCATCATTGGTTCCTAATGCATATATTATACAGAGAAGGTATCAGATGGAATTCAAAATTGCGTTATATTGGAAGAAGGCGTGGTTGTGAACCGATTTCACCCATATTTCGTACATGTAATCATGTTAAGAAAATATTATATACCGAATTTCTTTGAAATCGGTCGAGTAGTTCCTGAGATATGGTTTTTGGTCCATAAGTGGGCGACGCCACGTCCATTTTCAATTTTTATAAAAAGACTGGGTGCAGCTTCCTTCTGACATTTCTTCCGTAAAATTTAGTGTTTCTGACGTTTTCTGTTAGTCGATTAACGCACTTTTAGTGATTTTCAACATAACCTTTGTATGGGAGGTGGCGTGGTTATTATCCGATTTCTTCCATTTTTGAACTGTATATGGAAATGCCTGAAGGAAACGACTCTATACAGTTTGGTTGACATAGCTATAGTAGTTTTCGAGATATGTACAAAAAAGTTAGTAGGGGGCGGGGCCACGCCCACTTTTCCAAAAAAATTACGCCAAATATGCCCCTCCCTAATGCGATCCTTTGTGCCAAATTTCATTTTAATATCTTTATTTATGGCTTAKTTATGACAMTTTATARGTTTTCGGYTTYCGCCATTTTGTGGGCGTGACAGTGGGCCGATTTTGCCCATCTTCGAACTTAATCTTCTTATGGAGCCATGAAATACGTGTACCAAGTTTGAACATGATATCTCAATTTTTACTCAAGTTACAGCTTGCACGGACGGACGGACGGACAGACAGACAACTGGATTTCAACTCTAGTCGTCACCCTGATCACTTTGGTATATATAACCCTATATCTGATTCTTTTAGTTTTAGGACTTACAAACAACCGTTATGTGAACAAAACTATAGTACTCTCCTTAGCAACTTTGTTGCGAGAGTATAAAAACGCATTCATTCACCCAGCCATTTCTCCGACAGATGTCATCAAAAAATCCCGAAAAAAATTTTTTATACACTCCCCCATATACATGCCTCATAATATGTGAAAAAAGTTCTATTGTAGAAAAAAAATTTCTATAATAAAAAAGAAAAACAATTCAAGTACTAGTGCAATAGATGATCTTAAGTCTTTCCATAGGCCCGAAAAAATCAACACATGCTTCCCACATTGAAACATATCCAAATATGTGCAAACATATGAGCAATTGTTAATTTGTTTGAATTTAATAACTTATCTACTTTTTTGTATACAGGGCGAACAAATTAAATAACATAGCATACGCATATATTTATGTAAATTTATATACTCATTATATTTACTAGTACAAATTCAAAAACATTTGTACGTACTTATATTTGTATATATGCACATGTATATATCGGCACCTCAAATGCAAAATAACGTAACAACATTTTCGGAAATTTACAGCGTCATGAATGAAACCCGAAATAAAATGGAACATGAGTAAAACAAAATTTTAATATTGGTTAAAACTTATTTATATCTGACCGCAGAACCTGAAAATACTGCACATACTATGTGATATTATGTATGTAATTTGAAGTAGTGAAGCGTAATTAATAAGACACTGAATTTCGTTTTTTTGATGATACGTTATTTTACATTTCAGGTGACGATATGGAGATGAACACTGCTACGAATATGAAGTATGAGTGCGCTTGACAACACTTGGCATATTAAACAGAAACAACGCCTTGGGAAAACAACAGCTGCCACAGCCTCATCAACTGTTGAGTCTCAGCTCCCCCGCCAAGTACTGGATGTATAGTCATACTCTTAGGGGTGCGTAGTCGTGATGAAAGCGCAATACTTAAAACTTGGATTTTATGCGCTCAATATAGGATTGTGTGAACCAGAGAGAAATGCGATTAAATCTAGATATGCAACTGTATGCATGTTAACAAAAGAAATAAAATGTGTACATCGGGTAGTTTGAAATGCTTTAAGGAGACGCATTTTGTTTGTGTGCACACATACTTACATATATGTATATAAATACATATGTATTTATGTTTATGTTTATGTTCTCATACATACTATGGAGATATACATATACGGTGTATACCCTACAGAGAAGCCACAAACTCGTCAGGAAATGAAATGAATTGTGAAGAAATTCACAACTAGAATGCAAACGTAAAAATGTACTGAAAAACAGTAGACTTTTACAAATTATATTTTGTAATGAGTAGTTTATTACATCTGTGATTTTACTCTATTATCAAGCACGAATTTATTCCCTTTTTAAATGGTATAAACGAGTAAGGTATTATGTAAAACAAGTAAGGAAGGGTTAAGTTCGGGTGTCACTGAACGTTTTATACTCTCGCATGATAAAGTGATAATCGAGATTTCAGGCGTGGTTGTGAACCGATTTCATTTGGTACATGTCATCAGGGTGTTAAGAAAATATTATATACCGAATTTGATTGAAATCGGTCGAGTACTTCTTGAGATATGGTTTTTGGTCCATAAGTGGGCGACGCCACGCCCATTTTCAATTTAAAAAAAAAAGCCTCTATGCAGCTTCCTTCTGACATTTCTTCCGTAAAATGTAGTGTTTCTGACGTTTTTTGTTAGTCGGTTAACGCACTTTTAGTGATTTTCAACATAACCTTCATATGGGAGGTGGGCGTGGTTATTATCCGATTTCTTCAATTTTTGAAGTGTATATGGAAATGCCTAAAATAAACGACTCTGTACAGTTTGGTTGACATAGCTATAGTAGTTTTCGAGATATGTACACGGGGCCACGCCCACTTTTCCAAAAAAATTACGCCAAATATGCCCCTCCCTAATGCGATCCTTTGTGCCAAATTTGATTTTAATATCTTTATTTATGGCTTAGTTATGACACTTTATAGGTTTTCGGCTTCCGACATTTTGTGGGCGTGGCAGTGGGCCGATTTTGCCCATCTTCGAACTTAACCTTCTTATGGAGCCAAGAAATANACCCTGATCACTTTGGTATATATAACCCTATATCTGACTCTTTTAGTTTTAGGACTTACAAACAACCGTTAGGTGAACAAAACTATAATACTCTCTTTAGCAACTTTGTTGCGAGAGTATAAAAATATGTTATAAGTGTAAGTATGAGAAAAAGACAGTCGATTGACTAGTCTTTAACTATGTATGTAAAACTTATGTAAGTATACATTTACTACATCCATATGTATGTAAATAAGTACATATGACTCTTTGTTGTTGTTGATTAAAATTATGAAACAACCAAAGACTACTAAATGATGTTACGAGCTGGTAGAAATTTTTGATAAGAAAATAATCGCCTCCTTACCAAAATTTGCTATGTACGGTGCATATTTTACAACAATGTAAAAAACACTTAACAAGCTAAAATATTGATATTCCCTGCTTAATTCCTTCTAACTCATATAAGCATAAAATGCAGATCAAGCATAGAGCATTCTTCCTCAAACAAAAAAAGTGCATCCTACAAACTTACATACGGATATATATATATATATATACCATAAACGTTCAATATTATCCAAGTTCAGTATAAACATTAGAAACCAATTTTAACGTATCAGACAGATAAGGTACACAAAAAGGCAGATTGAAACTTAAAAATAAAACAGTTGTTGTTGTATCAGCTGAAAACATTCCTAAAATAAATTTAAAGAACGCTGTCGAGTTGACACTACTTGGCCGTTCCGGTTACGTAAACATGGATAATATGATACGAGACTTTAGCATTGACTCTCTTTTTCTCTCAAACGCGTTCCCTGATTATTTGACAGCGATGAAGATCAGGGAATTTCTGACAGTTGATTTCAGAAAAGGCGGGATGCCAGAAGTAAACCGCTATAATTACCTGACGAAATTAGTGTGAAATTCAATTTCATTGAACTGTGCGAACATATTGTGGCAAAATAAATGTTTGTGTAAATTAACTAATGATTATTCATTTTAGCATTTATATATGCATTTTCATATGCATTTTCAAAGTGTTTAATTTAGTGTTTTGTATAATTTATTTAATACCCAATCTAATATTTTTCAGCAGTGGCATCATTGGCAAATGTTATAAAAAATGCGAGTTTTGACAGCTCTCTCTCGAATCAAAGAGTTTCGTATCATATTATCCATGACGTAAAGTAAGTACATATGTACATAGATTGTTGTGGGAACGGAAAGAATTTTTATTATTATTATATGGCTTAGTTTCTAAGAAGAACATGAAATGAAAGCTGTCAGCTGTAAAACTTATAAAAAAAATTAATTGCAAAAACGTCGTTCGGAAGGGGACTATTTTGTCGCTCATTATCATTAAATATTATGCCTATTTGCATTCATATATGAACATATATACATACATATGTATGGATATTACATTAAAAAAAAAAACAGGTTATAACATTTAATATCCGAATATAAAATAAATATTCCTTTAAATCCGAGCAATGCAAATTCAAAATTAAAAGAAATGGCGAATTGCGTAGCAGCGACCTGTTGCGGAAAAAACACAAAGCGAACCACCTGAGTATGACCTCGTCTTTCCTTGTCGTTCCCTCGCCTACGAAAACCGGTTTGGGTTCATGCAAATGCATGGCTCATGATGTTTACACAGTTTTGCGTATTCACAATGCAATTATTGTGAATGGCTTTCCTCACGCATTCACAATAATTAAACTATTTGTAGGTAAGCTAACCACAATTTGGTGAAAACGATTCTGTTAATTAAAGTAATAATCCAGTTCAACTACCAGCGTTTAAGGAAAATATTATTATTATTGAGAAACGGTCTTAAATTGTACAAAACAATTTTGATAATCGAAACAGTTAGAATGAAGAGAAAACAAATAACGTTTTGATTCTTTCTTCAATTGCTGTTATCTAATCGAAACGCCAATAAATCTGTTATAAGTATATAATCTTTTTAAAACTTCAGCTGAATTACAAACATTGCTGCATTTATACAGATATTTAGCAAATCCACTATAAAAAGGGAAAGCAGCAGAGTTGCTAAAAAATACATAAAAATAATAATTGAATTAATATTTGAATAAACAAATTTGTTGTAATTTGCAAATTCCAGATTTAAACAAATTAATTCCATATGCGTATTAAATATACATTTTTGAGTTGCACATAAATTTACTTATGTCTATATTATCTAGATATATGTATATAAGAACGTAATTTTAATACGTTTACTTACAAAGTACAGTTATGTCTATTTCTGCTTTCAAAGGATTCTGTGACATTACGTTACTGGCTTCGCAACGAAAACGTGCATTATTATCGCTCGCTTCTGCTGTAAAGGTGTAGATATTTTCAGACAATCGTCCGGCAGTCCTTTAAAAATATAATATAGTTATAATTATGCTGTAGCAACATGTTGTACAAAGCATGATAGTTATTATAATTTGTATACCCTAGCATAATCTGGATGATAAAATTAATTGGTTTCTGGATATTCATTTCATATCTCGGCAAACATTTTCAAGAAAATGTGGAAAATAATATTTTTTTTTTTGACATCCTTATGTTAGAGTCTACATACATATACATATTTCCCAATTAAAAGAGACACTTTCACCTTACAATAGATGAATGTATGCCTAATGAGGATATCGAAATATAGCAGCATATATCGAAATTGTAAATTTTTCCACTACTGCAACGGCACAACAACAAACACACGCAGACAAATATTTGCAAGGGCTGTAAAAAATGCAGACCAACACCCATGTTTATTTTCGTGCAATGACACGTAAGAAATGTTCTAGCTGTCATTTAACTTAAATACATATTTTAACGTTAAATTGTTAAGGAAGGTAAATTTTCAATAGATTTTATAATTTCTATTTACATTAGAAAGATTTGTTACAGTTTTTTTGTTGAGAGTGAATGCAGAAGGAGCGCCAATTCACAATAGTCATGCACAAGAGTTATTTGCAATAAATTGACCGAATCAGCCGTTCATATATCACTAGATTCTGCAATGCGTGCCCTTGTATATTTCGGTATAGGATTTTTGCAATCTTGCAAGAGCAAGGGAATCCCCCGAATATGACTACACGAGTCTAAGCCTCCACCTAGTGCTGCATAACATCACCTTATCAACGAAACAATGTACGTGGTACAATAACAGGAACAGTGGAAAACGCTACTGACTTCCTTCCTTTTCCTTCCTCATCGAGCAAATGTGTGAACACTTGAGAACGTGGCAAAAACGCATAGATCAGCCATTTTTGTTTGTTTTCATTTGAACAATGCTCAATTCGCATATATAGTTTTGTACACATTTATGTTTTCAATTACAATTTTTTATAATATAAAATATCAAAACTGAAAACAAACTATTAAAAATAGTTTATATATAATATTTATAAATAATAGCATTCGACTCTGATTTTGAGTTATTTTAGGAAAATTTCAAACATATTGAATAAATTGAATTATAAAAGTTAATAATTACTACAGTATATAGATATTGGTAACCCTGCGTTGTAAGAGAGCAATCAGCTGACACGTTTCTACGGCAAAAATCCAAATGCCATGAATTCTCACGTCATCCTACGTCAAAGAGAGAAGGGAGTAGCGTTTTTCACTGTGCACTACAAGAATGCTATTATTTATAAATATATAAACTATTTTTAATAGTTTGTTTTCAGTTTTGATATTTTATATTATAAAAAATTGTAATTAAAAACATAGATGTGTACAAAACTATATATGCGAATTGAGCAATGGCAACATTATGCAAATGAAAACAAACAAAGTTGGCTGAATTCTGCGTTTTTGCCACGTTTTTCACTGCTCACACATTTTTCCGATGAGGAAGGAAAAGGAAGGAAGGCAGTAGCGTTTCTCACTGGCTCTGCTATACGTTCTCCACTGTTCCTGCTATAACACTGGCACAGTCTAATACAACACATCACACAGTGTCACACATTACAAGGCCAAAAGGAAAGATATTCACTAACTACTAAATTATTTAATGACAGTAATTTTTACCTAACCTATCTTATTAATCGACAGTGTGAGTGCTCCGGTAAAATTCAAATTTAAGTGGTGCCCAATACAACGTGTATACAATTGTTCAAAATAGAACTACAAGTAGTGCCTTTACATTCTAGCATAACAACACGAAACGCTAAAAAAACACTACTCAATATTAGTATTTGACTTGTGCTGATTATGAATTTGAGTTAAACAATTTTCCATCGAATAATTACAGACAACTGCAGTTTAGCATCAAATATGAACGACAAATGAAAACAGGCATTGTACATCTAATGTGTACAACTGTTCATGGCCGTTAAACTTCGTTCGCGGATATAAATATGTATTCAGTTGACTAATACAAGAAAATCTGTTGCTCACTTTACTCACCTGTAAGCCATTCGGATTTGAGAACCATTCTTATACCAAATTAATTGCGCTGGTGGATTTCCGCCTCTACTCCGACACACCAACTCTACTGTTTGACCCCTTCGCAGAATCTCGCCTTGAGTATAACCCTCGATATATGGAGGGCCTGGTGGATCTAAAATGTGAGCAATAACAAAGAAATATATATTATTAGTATGTTCGTTTACCAAACATGTTTAATGTGTACTTTGAAGAAGGCATGGTAAAATGTTTTAAGATGTAATATGTATAAATATATATTTTTACAACTCCCGGTATTATGATAGATCACTCACGCATTGATTAACATATTCGGCATGAAACCCAATACTAACCGGATTTCTATTTTAGACCCTAAAAGATAGGTCCAATATCAACAAGTTTTAGACAAGAAATACTTAGAAATTTTACTCCGAAAACCTAATTGTTTTGGTTGGTTGTTTTATGTAATGAAAAGTGAAGAAAAAACAGATGGAAAGGATGATAGTATTCCGATTCGTTTATTTTCATTGTTAATGTTATAGAAAGTGTACGGTTATGCCCATTAACGTGGACAAAAAACTAAATTGTGTTCCTTAGATATAAAGAAAATATCTTTTGAAATGGCAATTCTGGTAAAGTTTGAGCTCTTAATATTAAATTAACAGGTGGCTCACTGTGATTTTTGATTTCCCATATAAATAGCAGGAATATTGTATTTTTTTATTGTGATGTTTAATACAATACAACCAATATAAGCTTGATCCCGAGAAAATTTTGAGCGAGTTGACTTAAAAAAAATAAAATTTTTTCTAGATCGTTAAATTTCCTATAACAGGAAGGAACTACTAGACCAAATTCAACTCAATTTGGTGCTTGATATTATTCCATTATCAGTATTTTTGTTGTCTTAGGAAAATTCAGTGAAAGTATAATATTGAATATACTACTGCTTCATTTCGAAAATGTGTGAAATGTTCGACTATTATGTATGTATAACACAGCTCTACCAAAAATATAATAATTTTTTCTTGTTCGTATTTAATGTTGAGTGTTTAGTGTGCTATTCTGATTATGATCGCGGCTCCGTTAGTAATAAAATTTGTTTTTTCCATCATTCAAAAATTGTGAGATACAATGATGTGGCTAAATTCCCAGAATGTGTTCATCATACCAAAGGAAGTGAATGTAAGAGTGAAAATCTGCCCCGAAATTGTTTTCTTAAAATTATATCTGTAATATTATTTCAATTACAGTTATAGAAAATAATCGATGTCATCACATACGGCAACTAATGTAGATACAGATATTATCTCGATTATGACTGTATCGGAAATTGAAGCTTGGAACAATTTGATAATAATAGCCAAAAATTTCCTAAGCAACTAAATACCAAATTATTAAAAAAAAGTATACAAAAGTATTTTTTCGGAAAATTTAAGAAATTATAGGCAAGAGGAGAAGAAATAAATTTAATCATAATGCAGAAAAATATAGGTATGTCTAGCGATAACTGTTCTGCAGCTCCAAAAAACTATATTATACGTATTTTACTTATGTAATATTACTATTGTGAGCAGCGATTGGTTCAGAGGGGGATATCAATTTTGTTTTGTTCTAATTGACGAGCAGGTGAACATGCACACATACAATTGATGGGTATTTATCAGCGTGGTTAGTGGTACAATTATTGAACTTAATTGCTTTTCTGACACCTATCAATTTCCTTATTTGCTTGTGTTTAAAGCAACATGCAACTCCGGATTTATCTTAATGGACCCATACGTTCTAGATTTATTTGTAACATCGCAATCGCCAATTCCGATTAACCAGTACAATTTATATGAAAATTATTAAATTTTTGGGCGTATACTCAGAGTTATCCCAAAAGTTAAAATAATATACCGAACATAGGCATGCAAATATGTTCATAGATTAGTAATATTGAATAGATTTAATCATATAATGGTTGATTTTAATTTCGCAACAACATTCATCGAATGAGTTTAATTTATTCGACATGAAAAAAAGATGGGGGCGTTTTTGACGATGAAGTCTTTATCTCAACTTGTTTGTGCGTATTAGGAATAAAATATGTATGTATATTGTTTTACCGAATACTCGTGTAAATGAAGTTGATATAAAATATGGCTGAAATAATGCTGATTGTATCACATATAACCTGCTAATACTTCATTATACTTAAAAGGAAACAATCATATACATATGTATGCATAAGTATATTATAGTTCTCTTTTATCCATTAATCCGTATTCACGCATGTGTATCTGTGTGGTAGTAATATAAGTCTGTATATATTGGAAATACGCTTTACATTATATAGCATATAATATACAATAATTGAATTTAAAGCTGATCAACACATTATAATTGGTCAATATTTTTACAATCCATATTAACTAACTAACTTTTAACTTGAGCGATAGGAATGCAGAACTAAGAACCTTAAAATGTTATAATGAAGAAGGCATATGTAGGTATACTCGCGGCACATGCAAAAAACAATATAAAAAAAGGAAGGAGGGCTAAGTTTGGGGTTATCGAACATTTCAATCCCTTGCAAGATGCCAGAATCAACCCGGGAAGATACCTTCAGGTGTTCGAAGGAATTCAACATTCGTCCTTCGACGAAATCGTAAATGATTGTGAATCATCATCTAATGAACAGAAGATGGGAATTCATTCTATTAGGAATATGAGGACCAACGTCACTTACCGATATCCTTGGTATATGATTTTATTCATCTCTCAATTTTATTTATTTATTTATTTATTTAAAAGAGAACTAATTATAAATAATTAATCCACTTGTCAGAATCAGCACTGGCTACCAGGGCCTTCGGCTCCTAACACTAAGATTATGGTGAAAAGAAAATATTTAGTAAGGTTATTTAGTTGTATGTGGTTTATATGTTTTTGATGTTACACAGTTTAAGAAATTTATTAATGGAGAAGGTCGGAAGGTCTCTTATTCCCAAAGGTTGATTTCTTTAATAAATGTAGTGCAGGGCATTCATCGATGAGGTGAATGACTGACTGGGTGGGAGCGTTGCAATGGTGACAGCTTGGTTGATCGGTACC